TAGATTCAAGTAGAGAAACAGAACTGCTAGGAATGGTGCAGAATTGCAATTACATAAAATAGGAATTGAACCTTTTTCCATTATGGACACTGGTAAATGAGCTCAGTTTGGCTGTTTCTTAGGAGGAGTGCTGAGCCCAAAGTCACAAGACAGTTGATCAATATCAAAAGATGAACCGGAAGCAGAGGAGAACACGGAAAACTGGAATCCACAAAGAACCATCTGGAACACACGTGGATCTATCACCAAAAGTCACATAGGCCTTTTCCGGTCTCTGAGACACCACCCTCATTGCTGTGTACGTTCTAAGCAGAAGCTGGTATTCTTTCTGTAGAGCTACACCCTCTCCTCTACGAGGACGTGTGAGGTGGAAGGAAGTGATCTGCAGGGACCGGAGCTCTGGGCCAAGTACATACATCAAGCCAGCAGGTCTGTGAAAATGTATATGAGCTGCTGCAAAGTCTGACTGGCGTGGATCTTCCAAGAATACACACATCTCCAGCTCCACTTTCTGCTTCCAAATCTTGAACAAGTTGCTTTTTAGGGCCTATCTTAACCAGGAGCGCACAAAAAAGGAATTCTGGGAAATGTAGTTTCACTTCGCCAAGTTGACGTAGTGCAAAGCCACCAAGTGAGAAAATAAAAGCTTATTGGCTGTATGCCACTAAGATTTGGAGGTTGATTTTTCCTATGGCATAACTGTTATAAATTGGCTAGCTTCCAACTCCTTCCAAATTATAAGCCTGTCCAGGCTTTTGCCCATATACCTCCTTCTGGCCCTTCTGGGCTATGTGTGGCAGAAAACTCAGCCAGACTTAAATGATAAAAAATTAAATGTTATTCACATATTATTAAGTACCGACTATGCTAATCATAGAAACTGTAATAGCGAACTAGAAAAGCATTCTTCTTATTCTCTCAGAACTAACAGTGTAGCAAGAGGAACCAACATGGTCAGAAACTTGGCTCATTAATTGCAATTGTGATGTATGCCCCGAAGGGGAGGTGCAGGCAGCTTTGGGATCCATAACCTGGTCTAAGAGGGTCAGAGAGGCTGCTCAGAAAAAAAGCTCTTTCAGAAAGAGATGGGAGATGAAGAAAATAGCACATTCCAAGGGCCTGAGGTAGAGCAAAGCTAAGAGAAGCTGAAAAAAAGCCAGTATGGTTGAATTCTAAAAGAAAGATGGGGCTTATTGAGGGAACAAAGAGGCAGAAAAATAGGACCAGACCCTATCCGGCCTGGCAGGCCATGAAGATGATTTTGAATTTGACAGGGGAGAGGAGCAAGGGCAAGCACTGGTGGATTTAATTAGGGAGGTGTCATAATAAGATTTTCTGTTGGAAAGGTCATTCTGGCCATGGCTTGGGGAATGTATTAGAGGGAGGCCAGGTGACCTGGGCATGTTAGCACAGAATTCCAGGCAACAGAAGGACATAGTTAGACTCCCAGAGCAGATAGTGAAGGTCGAGACTTAGATGATAAGTGTAAGAACTGTATGGATAGGAGTAACGATTTCTCCTAGTTTTCTGGCATGAGTAATTGGGTGGAAGGTGACACCATCTAATGGGTCACAGAGTTCCAGAGCAGGATGAGGCTTGGGTAGGAAGGGAGGTACTGAGTACGTGAGGGATTTAAGCAAGCATGCAGGCATGTTTGTTCGTTGCTTGTAGTATGTTAAAATTGAATTTGTCGAGTTCACCAATTTATGTCAGCATTTCCTAAAATTAGTTCTCTAGCATCCTGCCTGTCAAAGAGTATCTTACAGACTAGCAGCTGTGCTTCACCTGGGAGCTGATATGAAATACTTGTCTCCAACTGCCTTACTTCTGTAGGATCCTCTGTGATTTTTAGCACATGAAAGTTTGCAACACACAGCTCTGGAACCCAGGTCTTGGGAGATGATATGTGACAGAAAGATTCTCAAAGCAAATAATTCTGACAGATGGTGAGTTCATGTGTCCTGTGTATAGTAACAAGTCCAAATATCATTTAAAAGATTCTATAGTGACCCCTATTACAGAGACCTATGTTTTCTAGGACTTTTTGTACCTACAGTTAACACTCTTTTCCCCCATCCACACACATCACCTCCATTAATAGTGGAGGATTAAATATTCTGTGGAACATGCTTTTAGAAACATTGATTTATAACATGCAGAATAAGAGTTCTGAAGGCAAGTCTGCCTGGATGCAATTAATTTATTTGTTGATTCTATAAACATTGATTGATAACCTACTATATGAGAAGCACTATTCTTGATACTGGGACTACTTAAATGAAAAAAAAAAATGACAATATTCTCTGCTCTTTTAAGGCTTATATCCTGGGTGAGGAGTATGTTTCTTGTTACAAGGAATGAATTGTGTGACATATTGCTTGGTAAAAAGTGCTTAAGAAAAGAATAAAGCAGGGAGAGACTAGGGAGTGGTGTAGAGTGCAACTTCTTAGCAAGGCAATGGAGCAAAGAGCTGAGGGAGGGGAAGAAGAAATCCCTGTGACCCTTAGGGTGAGGGAATGCTAACCACAGAGATCTTGAAGTAGATATGTGTCTAGTGTTTGAGAAACAATGAGAAGGTGAGTGGGCCACAAGAGAGAGGACTGAGAGGGGAGCCATGGGGTTGGACTTTAGTTCTGGCCCTTGGCAATTCTGAAGGATTCATGGAAACTCTATAAGCCTCTGTCCTGATGTGGATTATAATTGCACCTATTTTCTAGGGCTGTGTGAGGTTGAAACAAGATCATAGTGTTTAGTGCAGTGCCTAGTTTGTAGGAAATGCTGAAACACATTGGCTGTGATCATTCAGCACTTATAGGTTAAGAATGCAAACTTGGGAACCCTCTCACCAGGGTTTGAATCCTAGCTCTGCTTACTCATCACTTACTGGCTATGTGAATTTGGGCAAGGTTGTTAACTCTCTAAACTCAGTTTGCTCATCTGTAAAATGAGAATAATAATAGAGCCTCTCCCTTGGAATTGACATGACAATTAATGTGTTGATATGTGGAAAACACTTAGAACAGATCCTGGTACATAGTAAGCACTCCTTAAAGTTAGCAATTATTACGATCATTAATAATAAGGTTCTAATATGTGTCAGATATTTAAACAAAATAGACCAAAGTCTTTCTGACATGAGCTCTTTGGTGAAGTGGATTTGTAGGCACAGGAAGAGCAGAGGGTCTCAAATGAGTCAGAAGGATTTTCCTCCCTTTCTAGAACAGATAAGCCAAGACTGGAAGGGGGAGGATGAAGAATAAGGAAAAAACAGGAAAAGGAGAAGAGAACTGTGAATTCCAATAAAGAGAGCACCAAACAGCTGTAGAGCAGAACAGCTGCCTGATAAGTCTAGGCAGAGGTGAACAGAAGTAGCCTTGAGTAAATGTGACTGTATTCTATAGGAGGCAGTAAAGCAGCAGAGACTTGCTGATTGAGTGGTCAACAATGGCAGGTGGCTTAGGATGTGACCTGTGTTAGGTCTATGCATCCGTTATCTGTTGCTGTGTAACAAACTACCTCAAAACATGATGGCTTAAAACACCATTTGTCACCTCCCAGTTTGCGTGGACCAGGGAGCTGGGCAGGGCTAACCTGGATTGTCTCACTCTGGGTCTTTCTCAGCTGCAATTAAGCATTAGATGAAGCTGCAGTCAGCTCAAGGCTCAACTGGAGAAAGAGCCACTTCCAAGCTCACACACTTGTTTCTTGGCTGGATTCCTGACTGTTGGACAGAGCATCGGTCCCATGCTGGCTTTTGAGACAACCCTTGATTCCTTGCCACGTGGCTTCTCCACCATAGCAGCTTGCTTCATCAAAGTGTGCAAGCCAAGAAAGTAATAGAGTCCAACAAGACAGAAGTCTTATCATGGCAGTGGAACCCAGCACCTTTGCCTTACTCTGTTTACAAGGAGCATGTCAGCAGCTTCAGCCCACACTCAAGGGGTAAGGATTAGACATGAAGTTCCAGAGACAGGGAGCTTTGAAATTAGAGGGGCCCTCCTCCTGACAGCTTCTGCTTCCTAGAACATGTTCTACAGAGGATCTTGCCATGTGGCAGAACTTCGGGGGGAAAGGAAACCCCAAGAAAGGATGAGATTAACTTCTCTGCCAGCCTGACCAGCTGGTGTCTCAGAAGAGAACTTGATTTACAGAAAACAAGGAATACACCTTGTACATCTGTGCTGAAGACTGAATTATTTCTCATTTCTTTTATCTCATTTAATTCTTCAAGCCAGGATGTGACATATATAGTATTATGTTTATAATCAAGAAAACTGAAACTCAGAGAGGTAAATCACAAATCTGAGGTCACACGACTAAGATAGTAGACAGGTTGAATCTCTATGTGACCCCAAAACCCACACTCTTTCCACTATGCAGTGGTACCTCAATGTTGCTGGAATGTGTTTGAATGTATATTTCTTTTTATCACTTATAATAGTACAGATATGTAGGAACCCACATAGACCATCAAGTATTCGCACTCTACTATAATGTGTATGTAAAATGCCATCTATATATTTTTTTGTAAAGCCCAACTTTTAGTGGATAAATATATTGCCTCTATAGAAATTTTCGTTAAGATCAAACTCTGGCTATTTAATGGGATTCTGAATTTAATAGCATCAGTGCATTATCCTCAATAAATTTCCGTGATTTGGACAAAGATCACTACTATGCACTACTTATAAATGAATGTGGCCAGATGATGAGCAAGAAGTGTCAGTTCGCTTAAAGTCTTTCTCACATTCTCACAGCCAAGGGTGACAAGTTAGCTCAGAAAACCACCCCTCCAGTGACCAGGGTGTAACCAGCTGGCCTGACACACGGGCTGCAGATTCCCTGCTGCTGGCCCAGGAAACTATCTGAAATCTTTGCCACACTCCTCAGTGTAAATACTACTGATGTGAGCCCAACAGGAAGTGTGACCTCATTCTGCCTCTTTGCCTCTGGTTACGCAGGCTGTTTTCAAAAGAAACAAGACGGTTTGTAAGGCTGACTTTCCCAAGAACTACACACTCATTTGTACCAAGAAACGGATGAGAACAAGAGGCTGCTGAAGACAGAACTCTGCAAGCACCTGTGCACAGCAATGCCTGTGGGCATCTGTGAGAAGGTAGGGTGGAATTCCTTCATTAAGAGACTTCTGCACCTGTTGATATTCAGACATTTGCAGCTGAGGAACTGCTCAGTCCTCTATTTCTCCAGGGTCAACCACAGGAAGCTTCCTATTTCAGTAACAATTTTGTCCTTTGTCAATTGGAAGAAGAGGCTGGGAACTCCCTTTGGAAGAAACACATATAAGCACACCATTTTTCAGAACAGATGTGTTGCTTTGATGGAACTGGTAGATTGTTTCTTGAAAAGTTTTAGATCTGTACATGAAGGTTTTTTGTTTTTTTTTTTTCCTACTGTTGCTACTTTTCAAATGAATGTCAGCGTACTTCCTGTAGATTGCTATAAGCACTTGTAAGATAGAACAATAAGATCTTGCTTTCTGCTGCAGGATTTGTAGGCTGAAAATTAAGTTTAATACGTGGGGAACACTTAAATAAGGTTATTTGGGCTGGACACATCCATACAATATTGATCAAAAATGAAAAGGACAAGTAACATAATGATATATTACATTATATTATTGGAATTTATTTTGTATCCAAACAAATGAAATTTGTAAATGTGTGCTTTGATTTAGAGATCTTCCAAGGAAGGCCAGAAAGTTATCCTGACATCTTTAAAGGTCTCTATTAGCTTTATATTTTCCTAATAGGGTTTGTATATAATTTATTGAAATATTAAACTTAAAGCTGTAGAATCAGCCTGGTTTGATTGATTGTATTACAGCTACAAAGACAATCCATTACTAGTTCTCATGTTACAAAATGTGGACATAGGTGGTGAATCAGAAAAGAATTTGGTCCTACCTTATAAAGCAACTAGGACAGTGATATTATATACAAAAGTTTCATAGTCAACAGAAGATAGTTCTATTTGATGAACAGTAAATGATCAAAGTTTGCATAATTTGCATGCTTTGATAGGTTTTTAATTTGTGATTGAGAAATTAAGTTATGTGCTCATGGGAACTGTGTTCTAAAATCTTCCCAGTGGTATGCGATCTTTAGTGCAGTGTTACTTACGCTGTTTAGGAATGAATGTCCAAGCTGATAAAAACTATTAAAAAACATCTCTGTGACCACCTGTCAGTGGTTTAAGTTGTTGGGCAAAAGAGACACCAATCTCCATGCACCGTTTGAAACTTGATAATGAAGTTGATTTTTGTCAGATGATCAAAATACAAATATGTTTGTTTTGGGGGCTAAATGACTGTTAGAACCAGTCATTTTATTAAGATTTCTTAATCAAATACCTCACTTTCATTATTTTCTGTGGATTACAAATCAACCTCTTTAAGTCTAGATTTTCCAAATAAAGTGTGGTTCTTATTTACAAGAAAAGGTTATTCAGATGCATGTAGTGAGGCAATAGAAAATGTTCAAAGTCACAGAGGCAGACACAACTTTGAGAAGTTGTGTCTTCAATCTGGTCTCCTACCTTCAATCCTGTATCTCTGTATTATTTCAGTAAACAAATCTGACTAGTGCAATTAGTAGATGCCATCTGTTTTGGCATAATTTTTCTATTTTTAATATATAGTCCACCTTTTTTTAACGTCTTTTGCAGAGAATCTGTGAAGTCTGAACAAGCGGCCTTCCCAAGATGTACCGAATATCTCAACTGATGTCAACACCAGTAGCAAGTAAATGTAGAAGAACTGTGATACGCAATTATCTTTTGAACGATTAGACTCCTTTTAGCAATTTCCTTGCTTTGATTTTGCTGATACTCAGACCATTAACCATCTGTCAGTAGCTTGTGCTTCTTAAATGCCAGTGTTCACTTTGGCAATGATTTTCACTTCTTTTTTTTCCTTGAAAGAAATGTGGTATTTTTCCTCCTAGTAGAAAAAAAAAAAATCACCGTTTTTTTTTAGATGCCTGTGCATAAATGTGAAAGGAGATTGTTTATCAGCTACTATTAAGATGCAAAACTGTTTGTGTATAAAAAATGCTGAATGATTTTGATAGCTACTTGCAGAAAATAAGGGCGCTGTTAAAACGGTAGTGGTTTCAAGTTTCTTCCTTCCTCTTGTTATTTTCTCCCAAAACCCCACTTCTCACTCTCCCTCACACACCCACAGTTTTCGCCTTACAAATCGACCAACCCAATCTGAAAGTCTAAATTCCATTCTTTGTCCTAGATACTAATTGTCCATAATGGAATCAAATTTCACTAAGCCTGTCTGTTAGGACTATTGACACCATCTCTGCACACAGTAAAATTCTGCTTTAGAGTCTAGAATATTAATCAACTACAACTTTCACCATGTAAAGTCTGTTGTCATGCCTTTGGTTAAACTGGAATGAATGGATGGATGAGGTTTCTATAATTAAGAATACCCACAGTATTTATACATTAGAAAATCTTATATAAAACAAAACAAAACTTTATTTCTTCCCCACTAATCGCTTTTGCTCACTGTTTTACCCTGTAAGTGTCTTAATATGCACCAATGAGGGAGAATCTAGAACAATGATTGAATTCCTCAGATTACTGAGTAAGCTGCAATAACCAACACATTGGGTAATTGATTCCGGTTTTCTCCTGTTTCACACAAGATGTTTTTTTTTTTTTTTTTTTTTTTTTTTTTTTCCCCCATCCTTTCATGAGCTCAGTTTGATGCTGATGGTTTATTTTGCCTTATCCTGCACTAAGGAACTTCTAAAGGAATGTTACATGGGAGAAGGAGATACAAGTCCCTAGTTTATGTTGCTTCCTGTAGAGCCCTGGTGATAAGGGTGTCCGCACTAGTTGGAGTCTTCCTCCTGAGGCTGGGACATCAGCTATTCCCATCTTCTTACATTCCTTCTCTGTTTGCAATGGTGTATACTTTTATACTAGTGATATTTGCTACAGTGTATACTGTTGTACAAGTGATATACATGTATCAACATGTATGACTGTTAATCAGGTATGATACATTCTACTTCTCTCTCATTTGTTTATACAGGTCCTTCCAGTTTGGAAAAAGAATATGCTGGACAGTTGTCTCCCACATGCATTTTTCCAAGGTATACTATGGGGCATCTTTAAAAAAAAAAAAATCATTCTTGGCTGGGCATGGTGGCTCAAGCCTATAGTCCCAGCACTTTGGGAGGCCAAGGTCAGCAGATCACTAGAGGTCAGGAATTTAAGACCAGCCTGGGTAAAACACAGTGAAACCCCATCTCTACTAAAAATACAAAAATTAACTGGGTGTGCTGGTAAATGCCTGTAATCCCAGCTAGTCAGGAGGCTGAGGTGGGGAAATTGCTTGAATCTGGGAGACAGAGGTTGCAGTGAGCCAAGTCCGCACCACTGCACTCCAGCCTGGGTGACAGAGCGAGATCCCACCTCAAAATAATAATAGCAATTATTATTATTATTTTCCTGTATGTCTTGCTTTGTTGTGTTATTGTTTTGAAATTGTTATTTTAGCTATCATCTAGTTTTGATACGTTATATCTTTTTAGTGACTTGTGCATACTAAATGAAAACTTGCCTAATAGAATAATGAATATATACATATATATCATATTATATTATATATTATTTCTCTGAATTGTTTCTCTGGCAAGTGGTGAAACTATTGAATACTCATGAATGGTTACTTTTTCTCAAACTGATATTCTTTTAAATATGCTTTCCTATCTTGTTTCACAAGATCAATAGAATTCTATACCAATGACTGAATTTTGTGCTCTACTAAAGCATGTATAGCCTACCATTTTGTTGAAGTCCTGCAAGGGAGTCATTTTTCTTCCTTTTTTTCTGACTTTCTGTCTATTATTCCCTTTAAAGATATCAGTTGATGTTTCTCCTAACATTTTGTGAAATGTGACTATAATATAAAGAGATCATATATTCCTTTTAGGACCCACTCCTTCTTGCAAACTGTAGGCCTCCTGATACTACCAAATGAATTAATATGAACAGAGGCACACTTGGAAAGGATCCATGTTTTTGAGTCAGATAGACTAGGTTTCATATCATAGCTCTGCCACTAGCTATGTAAAACGCCCAAGTAATTTGCTGTTTTTGTAAATCTTTTTTTTTTCCTGCTAGATGATCAGGAAATTCTAAATCACAAATTTTTAGAGACAAAGGGCAAAGTAGGGGGCCAGGCTCATGGTAAGTGTTCAACAAATCACATTCATTTGAAATAGTATTTTATTACTAGGCTGAGTACATTGTATATAAACTTTTAAATGTAAAAATATCAGAAGTTCAGTAGTGCATGAGGCAGATGTACAGAAGGATGAGAGACATTTCATAATCTATCAGTGTGTAATTATCTAAAATTCTTTAGTGACCCTAATGATATTTGTCCTTTCACCACCCAGTCTTTGTCCTATCCTAGGAGGCATGATTTAGGCTCTTCTAAGGCCTAGTTATAACCTCACATGAAAGGAAAGGACTTTGTCTTTAGGCAGTCAGGCACCTTGCTGGGCTTTGCTGTGGGATTGGACTTTAGAAACCAATTGGAAAGGACCTGCTGAGAAGAATCAGCTACTAAGTTTATTACAGCAGAATGAGGCAAGAGTCAAGATCTAGAGATAGTTTTATTATCTGCTCTAAATGTTTGATATTGCTCAGAAGAGTTTTTTTTTTTTTTTTAACTATAATCTGGGTGTTGGAAGAGTGTCTTCATTTTGTTTACAATCAAGAGAGGATAAAGGTAGGGGCATTAAAAAGGAAAGATGCCAGGGGGTTAGGGAGGCTATAGTTGATAACTGTTGAATGTTGAAACCTTAGAAATTGGAGTGCAGCTAGAAATACAGGTCCAGAACTCTGAAACCGCTTAAGTGTCCAGCACCATACATCAATCCTCAAGTAGGTAAAATAATACAGAAGAAAGAGCATTGGAGTAGGAGAAAAAAGATCTATATTTTTCCCTTGCCTCTCCCACTTATCAGCCCTGAGTTATTGAACAATGAACTTATCCTATTGGAGCCTCCATTTTCTTATTTATTAATAGGGGTAACAAGAACCAAAACATCTGTTGGAGTGTATCAGTGCATGTCTGGAAATAGTCTCTTTTGATGTTCCCAAAGTCTTAGACTTCTACCCGTACTACTCAATATTTTTATAAATGATTTGTATTGAGGACATGCAGATTCCAACATATTTGTATCATGTAAATATATTAAAAGTATTATGTATATAATCATAATCCTTCAAAATTCTATAGCGCAATATGAATAGCTCATTCAAATAGTAGCCAACAGATTTAGCTTATCATACTTAGGCAATGGAAAGCATAGTCATTAATAACCTCCATTAAACTATGACATTTACTATTTACAGCAATCTATGAGGTTTATTTTGGGTAATCTTTATTGCACAGATTCACATTTGTTAAAAAAAAAAAAAAAAAAAAATCCTAAGCCTTGAAGAGAATAATCAGCAAGAGGTAGAGCCAGGATTGAAACCCAGGGTGTAAACTTAGCTCTATCTATCTGCAAAGTTCTGATTACATATTGACTCTGTAAAATGAGTCCAAAAGTCTAAGAGAGGAAAGGCACATCTAAAGATACAGGGGAAAGACTAGAAATTGATAGATTATTTAGATGAGATCAGGTGCGTTCAGGTTGATATGGCCGTAGACTTAACAGTCTACTTAATAGTGTGATAATATATTGGTAACTGGAGGGAAGAAATGAATCAAGCTAATGCGACTTAAGCTTCATCGCTAAAGACTTGGATTCTATAATGAGGGAGGTGATAATCTACATTCCTTGGGCAGACACACCAAAAGGGTTGGGTTCTATGGTTGCCATGTTATTTAAGAGGAGGATCTTTAAAAAGTGGAGACTACTAAGAGAAAAGCCATCAAACTGTGAGAGCTAATGGATCAAAACTACATTATGTCGTATAAAGATGAGTTAAATGAACTGGAGCACTTTTAGTGTGGAGAAGCAAGGACCCAGGGAGGACATGGAAATTCTTCAGATAGCTGAATAGATCTCAAATGGAAGAGAGAAGGAAGAGAACAGCAAGGGAAAGAAAGGAGGGGAGGAAGTGAACATTTATGAGACCCATACTAGGTGTTAAGCACAGACCATTTGTTTTCTTATTGAATTATTAAGATAACGCCATAATCAAGATTTGTTTTCTTGTTTTACAGATAAGGAAACAGTCTAAGAGGCTAAGCGACTAGATTATGGTTACTTACCTAAGCAATGAAAGAGTTGGAATTATGGACTTAGACGGGGGGAAGACTTCAAATTCTCTGCCTTTTCCAGTATGCTACAGTCATATTTGTTCAGTTAAGGGGCGTGGAGGTGCTTAATAAGTGTGGGGTCCTTCTTACTGAAGGTTTACATGCAGACACAGGACAATGTTTGCTGGAAGTAAACTTTGTTTTAGGGACAAAACAAAGCAGATGGGACAAGCAGAATTTGGTAGGGCTGCAGACATGACCACTAAAACCCCTTCTGATTCTTAGAATCTGTGATCTCTGGAAACATATGATCCCAGTTTATGCGATTAAGTGGAACATATAATATACAGAAATTATTGAAAACATCAAGGTAAAGAGCACATAAGAGCTATTGTAAAATCATCACTGTTAACTGATTGACACAAAACCACCCCAGGTATTCAAATATATTCAGACACTATATATTTTCACAGATTTTACCAGATTTCCATAGCCTGTCAGCTGATTTCATTCAGCAACTGGTATTGAATTTATTTACATACTGAACATTTTTTAGGCTCACAGTATCTGCCCTCCAGAAATGTATAAAATAATTACTGAGGCAGACATACATACACAAAAATGACAATGAGGTTAGTTGGAATTTAGGAGAAAGAAAAATAATTTTTATGGAAGAAGAGAGGAGAAAAATGCAAGCATCTTTGAAGAAATAGCACATAACATATTCTTTTCTCCAATATGGCTCTATTACTATTGTCACCAGGCTTCCATCAAATCTCATCTCAAGAAATTTTAGATTTATGAAATATTTTTTATAATAATTTGATTGCTTGTCAATTATAGGGGCCTGTAATTTACTCCTTCCTTCTGTCCTTCCTTCCTTCCTTCCTTCTTTCCCTCCTTCCTTCTCCTCCTTCTCCTCCTCCTCCGCCTCCTCCTCCTCCTCCTCCTCCTCCTCCTCCTCCTCCTCCTCCTTATTCTTATTCCTCTTCTGTCTCTCTCCCCCCAGCCCCAACTCTTCCTTTAGATACAGGGTCTTTGCTATGTTGCCCAGACTGGAGTGCAGTGGCTATTCACAGACATGAATAGCACACTGCAGCCTCAAACTTCCTGGACTAAAGGGATCCTCCTGCCTTAGCCTTCTGAGTAGCTGGGACTATAGGCACATGCCACCATGCCCAACTCAATGTGATTGTTTTTTAAACCTAAGACACATATAGATTTACTAAAGTAATTATGAGACTTCCCCAGCTACAAAATCAGGGAAGGTAACCATGTGCCCATATGTGCAGCCAACCTAGGGAAAAATTTGGAAAGGCCAAAAAAGATCTCTTTGACTGCATGTTCATCCTGTACCTCATATGTTTACAGTGGCCACATAATTTTAATGTCTCTATTACAGTGATGAGGATAAAGATATGGCAATTGGAGGGCTATTCAAACTAAGAGAGTAGAGGGAATTTTGAGCTGCCAACATTCCAACCAAAAAAATATATAGTAGACTAACATCAAATGTAGATTCATCATATGATGAGGAAAGTGATTAGCCATTGTGTTTTCACCAAGGTTTAAAACAGAAAGAAGCACTAAAGTTTCTGTAGTTCAGTGCTGTTGTAGGTGAGGAGATGAAGCCCAGAAGATTAAGAATGGCATTCCTAATGGTTGCAGAGGTAATTGACAGTCGTGTTTGGAAAGAGGTTATTTTCCTTCACAGTGCGCCATCTTTCTAGAAGTCCTCTTTCCTACTTTTATTTTAGGAAATAAAAGTGATGAGATATGGTTTATATGGGACTGGTGTAATGGATAGAGATTTAAAAGGCTTTTCCTTTTCCTTCTTAGTTTCACCTGTGATGTCCTGGATGGTGACCATTCTTTTGAATGCTGCTCCATAAATCGCCTGACAGGCTCCCACAATACCTGTCGCCGAAGTCCCAGACTCCTCACCAATGGCTACTACATTTGGACCGAAGACAGCTTCCTGTGCAACAAAGATGGCAACGTAACTCTGAACCCATCCCAGACCCGTGTTATCTACAAAGAGAACTTAGTTAGGTAAGCAAAACATATTACAGAAGGAAATTTGGAATCTAATCTACCCATTAATCGTTCATTCATTCATTTACTCACTCAACTGTCTTTTATAAGGAGCGCATTATTGCTCCAAACTGTGGAAATACAAAGGGTTAGAGGGGATGGGCATAGCCAACATGAAAACAAATGAAACCAATGAAGTAATATGGGTGCCTGGATACAAACCTGTCAGGGGGCAGTGAAGGGGAAAAAGAAAGAGAATCTATTTTACCTGGGGAATAGGTAAAAATAAATTCACTAGAGGTGGCAATGGCTGATTTTAGTCTTGAAAAATGTAGGATGTTAGTTAAAATAAAACTAGGAAAGAGGACTTCTAGAAAGATGGCGCAGGCATGGGTTTCTGAGAGACCCTGGTAAAACTTGGAGAATAGCAAATCATTTGGTAGGGATAAACTTAGGGTGAGAAGGGGTGTTTTGTAAGAAAGAAGACTGAGCACAGGATCAGGGGCTGGATGAAAGTGCTTAAATTTCAGGCTAAAGAGTTTGAGCTGTACTCTACAAATAAAGAGGCTCCATTGATATATTATCAGATTTATTCTTAGAAAATAATAGTGACAGCAATGGAAAAGATGTGTGTGAATACATGAGTAGAAAGTGAGTATAATGGGAAAAATGAAGGCAAGGTGTATATAGATTGAAAGCAAATTGTGGTAGCAATGATGAAAGAGTAAGGGTGGGGAAATAGATAAAAATAATGGTAAAGAGGTGGAATCCTGGACATCCAAAGATGTGGGAGGTCCAGCAAAGGAAGAACACTTGCATGAATCTTAGGACTCTGGCTCTGTCAACTGAATGTACGGTAGGACCATTTACCAAGATCAAAAAGAAAGAAGGAGCATGTTTGAAGAATGAAGACAGATGAGTTCACTTTGGATCAGCAAATTCGGATGATCACATTCATTTTCTTTTGCTTCAAAACTACCCATATGCTGACTGTATCCATCAGCTATTGACACAATAGCTGTGTAACAAATAACTATCAAATCTTAATGATATAAAGCAATGAGCACTCACATGTTTGGAAGTCAGTTGAAGTAGGTTGGTTTAATCTGAACCAGGTGGAGCTTGGCTTCAGTTGGAATCAAGTATGAATTCCAACTTTGAGACCAGTGGACGACAGAAGAATGTTCTTGGTGTTGTAACTAAGTAAATGCAAGAGGACTTACCCCAACAACAGGTACATTTCAAGCCTCTGTGTGCATGAATCTGCTACCATCTCAATGGTCAATTCAACTTATATGGGCAAGTTGGAATAAGGGTCAGAGAAATACTTTCTACCCTTGTTGATGAAGGAGGAAGGGATTTCCTATAGGCATCTCAAACTGAGTATGTCTAAAATAGAAAAGGTCCTCTTTCTTTCAAAATGTTTCTCACATGATTTCACCATTCATCCTTCATTGAGAGTCTCTCCAGACTTGACCTTTTTATTCACACATCCCTTTTAGTCAGTTGGTCAGGATAAGATGGTATAGGTAGTAACCTTTAGATCTAAATATGTAATGATTCAAACAAAACCAGATTTTATTTCTTGCTCATATAATTGTCCAGAATGACTGTTCCAGCTTAACTGGTGATTCACCTTGAAGCAGAGACTCAGAGATCCAGATTTCTTCTGTCAAATGCATCTGCTAACCGTGCAAACCTTGTAGAGGCTGTGGCATAGTGGAATTGCCTGGAGCCAACTGGTAAAAGTAGAAAGAAGGTGATGTGGAGGAACACCTACTTTGCTCAAGGCTCCAGCCAATAAATGACACAGATCACTTTTACTCATAATCCACTGGGGAGACCTTAGACTCATCACCACACCTAATGGCAAGGGAGCAGAAAGATGTAGTTCAGTTGTGGGTCCAGGTACACTGTGTTTGGTAAGAAGTTTATTGTTTCTGCCATAAAGTGTAAGACCAAATGAGTCTACTTCCTAAAATTATTTTGAGTTGTTCCTCTTTCTTTGATCCCCTAGCTGTTTTATTCATTCAGGCCACCATCACCTCTTGCTTAAATTTCTGCAATGGTTACCTGAGTATTCTGATGCCTCCTGGATTACTCACCTTCCAGTACATTCTCCAGGCCAAGCTACTGCAAGGTGGTTTTCTGACATTGGTTAGGCACCCTCCTTCAGGGAATTTTTACTCTATTTACTTTCTTCTCATTTCACCTTACATAACTGCCAATATTTGTTTAAAAAAAAAAACAAATAAAATAAATGTCCTGATTGCTTTCTGTGTGCTAGGGACTATTTCAACTGTTTTGTGTGTATACTACCATTTGATTTCAACTCCTGCTCTGGAATCTTATGACACAGATTTTATTACTGCCATTCCTATTTCACAAAGGTAAGACACAGGTTCAGAGAGGTTAGGTAATTTTCCCAAGCTCACAGGGCTATTAGGTGGAAATAGGATTTCAGCTCAGATTGTTCAACTTTAGAGAATCAATTTTCAACCACCACTTTTGACTCTAGCCCACCTTATGTAGATATTCTTGATGTTAAAGATGTTTTATACATACTTTTTGTTCTCAAATTTGATGAGTGCCCATCCCATAATAGGTACTTAATAAAGTTTTGTTTAGCAAATTAGTGAATATAAGAATAAATGAATAAACATTTCTAATTCCAGTTTATTCAGTTTAAAATGACCTCATCTTAGAACCTACAAGAATCTTTCAAAGTTGGTTCATTTTCACAGGAGTGTGTTCCATCGTCAGGAACTCTACCATTTTTCCCAACTTGCCATTCCTGAACCTTATGACAGAGAGAGTTCAAATAAAGCAGGTTTTCTCAACAGTAGCACTATTCACATTTTGTACCAGATAATTTTTTGCTGTGGGCAACTGCCCTGTGCATTGCAGGATGTTTAATGGTATCTCTAGCCTCTTCTTACCATCTGCCAGGAGGACTCCTCCCCTAGTGTAATGTCAACAAAATGTCTCCAGAACCTGCCAGATATTCCCTGCAGCCAAAATCAATCTGGTTGAGAACCATCAGGATAAAGAAGGCATAAGGCTTGTAATTCATCCTAACCACCAAGGGAAAACACAACTCAAAATGCATCTTCTGATAGCGGCCACGGATATCCCAAGAGGAGAGCAGAATTTTGTGATGGGAAAACTGTTCGATGCCCATCTTGCATGTGATGGGAAAGCTGTCCCACTTGACCTTGCATTACCTAGCTTTAATTCAGGCCCTCAGTATTTTTCACCAGTATAGCATGCTCAGCACAGGGCTTGACACATCACAGGCAGATACGTGACAGTGACTCCCCTGTGCACTTCGATTAGCCTCTCTGCCCTCAATTTTGCACCTCTGAGCCACGCTCTGTTACCAACAATTTTGGAAATGCAAATCAAATTATGTCATCACCACTCTCTTCCCCATAGCCATGCTTTAGAGGTCTCCCTTTGTTCCAATACTACATTCCAACCCCCCTGCATCGTATATGAAGTTCATCATTATCTGCCTTCATTTTACCTGTCCAGCTTCACTTCTTGGCGTGACCTAATCACACCTACTGGCTCCTCAATGAACAGGTCAGATCATCTCATGAAGCTTAGCACTCATTTCTCCCAGAAAACCTCCCTCGATTATCAACTAGTAATGCTACTCCTGGTGCCTTCAGAGCAGCCTCTAGGCAATCCTTTCAGAGCACATATCCCCTATATAGCATAGTGATCAAAAGCAGAGACCATGGAGGCAGATTCTCTGGGTTTGCATCCTAACTATGTCACCTACTAGCTGCATGAACTCAGCCAAGTGACTTAACCTATCTGTGCCTAAGTTTCCTGACCAGAAAAATGGGATAATAATAGTATCTGTTTCATAGAGTTGTTCTGAAGATAATGTGAGTTAATCTTTGTAAAGCACTAAGAAAGATGCCTGGCACAGAATAAACTTTAGAGAAGCATTACCTATATGTGCGTTATTATTTTTTTCTTTCTCCCATAAAACATTGCAAACTTATCACACTCAAAGTTTTGTCTTTTATTTCTGTATTCTTGATGTTGAGCCAAGGACCAGGCACACAGCAGAATTTTGAGAAACTTCTGTAGAATTAATGCAGTGAGCTGACTTGGGTTGTAGAGATGTACTCTGTATACCAAATCACAGTTTTGAACTACAGGTAACCATTATTCATTGTTTGCCATGCTTTCATTTCTCTCTAGGATATTTAGAAAGAAAAAGAGAATCCGCCATCCCTTTTCTTCTCTCTTCAACCTCAGTACCTCTAAATCTTGGCTGCATGGAAGTATCTTTGGTGACATTGAATCTTCTCCAAGTGAGGACAACTGGTTGGAGGGGATCAGGAGGTTGGACACAGACCACCACAATGGAGATGGTGAGTTTGAATCTTCCTTTCCATAGCAAAATTTCATTTCCAAGTAGGCAGTGGTAACCCTGTGGTCCTCGACCAATATCAAGTCCAGAGATGACAGTCATTCTGATGGAGAGATGCCACATTTTAAAAATTCACTTGAAGTTCTCTCTATACTACATGTGTGATCAAAACGCATATGTGTCTATGTCATGGAAAATAGCCTAATGTAAATCTGTAAATTATTAAGTTGATAATGCTTTAGGCAATATGGCCATTTTTGTGATATTAATTCTTCCAATTCATGAGTGTGAAATGTTTTTCCATTTATTTGTGTCACCTATAATTTCTTTAAGCAGTTCTTTGTAGTTCTTCTTGTAGAGATTTTTACATCCTTGGTTAGATGTATTCCCAGGTATATTATATTTTTGTGGCTATTGTACGTGGGATTGCATTCTTTATTTGGCTCTCAGCTTGAATGTTATTAGTGTACACAATGTTATTAGTGTACAGAATTGACTGCTGACTTTTGTATGTTGATTCTCAAAGCATATTTTAAAGATGAAATGGGACAATGACAGTCAGTCATAGTTCAATATCTGGTGCTCAATAAGTTGTGGTTGCAATTATTTTTACTACTAGAATGAAAACAACAGATATTTATTGGGCAGTTACTATTTTCCAGGCGATGTGGTAGGTGGGGGATAAAAAGATGAATATAAACAATGTAGCCCCTGTCTTCTTGGGTCTTATGGTCTACCAGAGCAGGCACTGGGGTTTAGATATTTGTTAAATAATTGCACAAACATGGCATAATAATTGTGATGGGGGCCATGAAAAAAGGATATGTGATATAATGGGGAATTTGACTCATTTGGAAACTTAAGAAAGGCTTCCCTCTGGAACTGACAATGGAGATGAGTGCTAGACAATGAGAGGGGCTTTTGCTGGGTGAAGGGGAAAGGTAAAAACATTTTGTGCTAAGGAGATAAAAAAGTCTGGAGTGTGAGTTGCCTAGTGAGCAGACTTGCTCAGTGCGGGAAGATAGCATGCATGGTTTGGAACACAATGAGTTTAAGTTTCTTTAAGACATCGAAGAGACAAAATCTAGATCGTGTGATATTTGTAATCTGGAGCTCAGAGGAGGAAACTCAGTTAAAGTTATACATCTAGGAATCATATCAGTCTAGGAGGTCATTGAAGCCTTACAGTGGATGAGATGGATTAGGAAGGAGATATACAGTTTTCAAAAGAGAGAGCCTAAAATGGAGTTATGAACACAAACAGTGAATAAATAAATAGGACAGGATTAACCTGCAAAAGAGATTAGGAAGGAAGCATTCATAGAGGTGAGTGGAAAACTGAGAGAGTATTGTGTAATGAAATTCTTGGGATAATAGTGGTACAAAAGGTGGGAGCATTCAGCAATGGCAAATCATACTAGCAAGGTAAATAGAATGAGGACTGAGTGTTCATCAGATTCATTGGCCTGGGGGTGACTGGTAGTGGAGTGAAGGTGGCAGAAGAGAACCAGGAGTACAGTGAAGAGAGAGTGAGAGGTGAGGAAATAAAGGAACAGCCTATAGAAGACTCTGATGTCTGCTGGGAAGAGAAGGGGAGAGGTGAAGGAGGATGAAGTCAAATTAGAAGACTGAATGAGCCCTTGCCTCTTCTTCCTTTTTCTTCTCATCCTATAAACACAGCCAAACCATATCATGAGTATATATCATGAGTATATATCATGATATGGTTTGGCTGTGTCCCCACCCAAATCTCATTTTGAATTCCAACATGTTGTGGAAGGGGCCTGGTGGGACGTAACTGAATCATGGGGATTCAATAAACATACTGTTTTAGTGATAGTCAATAAGTCCACCAGATCTGATGATTCTATAAGGGGGAGTTTTCCCTGCACGAGCTCTTTCCCTGCTGCCATCCATGTAAGACATGACTTGCTCCTCCTTGCCTTGCACCATGACTGTAAGGCTTTCCACCATGTGGAACTGAAGTCCATTAAACCTCTTTCTTTTGTAAATTGCCAAGTCTTGGTTATGTCTTTATCAGTAGTGTGAAAATGATCTAATACATGTCACTTCGTCAACACATGGGCCTGAAATAAAAGTGGGTTTGCAGGTCCACTTTGATATGTTATATACTCATTTAATAGTCATTCTTTCATTTATTCATTCACTCATCAAACTCACTGAGTATGTGCTATGTGCCAGCCACTGCACTAAACACAGCACTCTTCCAAACCAAGTAAGACATAACTGTAACCTTGAGAAATTCCTGGTTTAAAACAGGTAGATAGATATATTTGCAAATAATTTGAGTATAATGACTGAAACAGTATAAGAGATTTAAGAGTAATATGTGGAGACACTGTCAGAGGTTTAGCCAGGGGAGGCAGTATTAACTCTACCTAGAGGTGACTGGGAGGGCATCAGAGGGAGGCAATTTCTGAGTGGGTCTTAAAGGACGAGTAGGATGGCTAGGCAGAGATGAGCTGGGGTGATAGTCCCAGCTTCCCCATTCCATCTTCCAAACTGCTGTGAGGCCAACCTTTCTGTAACACAAATGTGGCCTTGTCATTCCTTAACACAGCATATAAGGCCTTTTGAATATCTCCTACTTCTCCAACCCTAACTGACTGCATAATTTTCAGGCCCACTGCAGAAAAAATACAAGGCTCCCTGTTAAGAAATGCTTAAGAATTTCAAATATCAACCAAGAAACACTGTTCAACCAAGAAAAAGACCCTCATGACAAGAAGCCCTGTGCAATGGCACTTGTCAAAGGTCCATGTGGCTGGTCTTGTCTTCAACTCCATTTTTTTTCCTTTCCCTTACATGCAATTGACACACATCGCACTGATCTTTCAATTTCCTGAATGAATCCTGCTCTTCCACACATCTGTGGCTTTACTTACGTCACTCACTCTGTTAGAATTCACTTTTTCATTCATTTGGAAGATTTTATTGAGGGCCAACAATGTGCCAGGCATTATTCTAAACAATGAACATAGCGGTGAATAAAATGGACAAAATACAAGTTCTTGTGGAAATTGCATTTCTATAGGGGGAGATAGGCAATACATAAATTATGTAGCATGTTAATAAATGGTGAGTGATATGAGGCACAAGAAAGGGGGAAGTGATGGGAGTTGCAAATGTAAATAAAGTGGTTAGAGAAAGCCTCATTGAGAAGGGATTTTGAGCATTGGCTTAAAAGCAAAAGCAAAACAGTTCTGTAGATACCTGGGGGAGGAACAATCCAGCTACATGAAATGCCAACGTACAAGTTCTAGTTTCAGAGCCTGCACTGGGCTGAGTGAGTGAATGGGGAAAGCAGGGAAAGACTGAAAGGTGTATGTGTCAGGAATGAAAGTGGGAAAGGACAAGGAGAGCTGCAGGGTCATTTCAAAGGCTTTGCTTTCTACTCTGCGTGGAGGACAAACCATTGGAGGAATCTGAGCTGGGGAATTACCTGTTTTGATTTACATGTTGGCAGGATAACTCCAGCTTCTGGGTTCAGATTAGATGTCAGTTATTAGGAACAGAAGCAAGAAACCGGTTAAGAGGTTGTTGGAATGATTCGGGTGGGAGATAATGGCGACTTGAACTAAGACGATAGCAGAATGGTGATGAGAAGTAGGATTCCAGATTCATTTTGCAGGTAGAGGCAACAGGATTTGCCTATGTGGCTGTGAGAGACAAAAGAGAAGTAAGGGTACTTATTACATGCTGAGCACTTTACATTTTGTCTTTTAAAAATATATTAGCTTGTTTACATACATTATCTTGTTTAAATATTTCCAAAATTCACAGGAAGTAGATTATATTATCATATTTATTATAATTATGATAAAACTTAAGTTCAGGATTAAAGGACTTGCCAAGTTAATTTAGCTTATAAACAGCAGAATTGGAATTCAACCAGGTCAACTGAATCAGTTCTATCTGATTTAAAAGTTCAGATTCTTCTCTGTGGCCAGGAAGGGTTTTGTTCTCCTTTTCAAAGAGAAATCCATCATATCCTTCATAGTGCAGGCCCAAAGAGCAATCTAGAGGAGTCACATGATGTAATAATGTATTAATTTAAGTGTGTAGCAATTACATGGATATGATTTTTCTTAATCTGCTTCTTAGACAGAAACACACATCACTTAATTTTTTTTATTTTTAATTTCGGTAACTTTGATTCACAAAATGTTACAAAAAATAGTACTGAGAGGGCCAGTGTATGCTTCATCCAGCTTCACCCACATGTCACATCATCACTTCTGTGCAAAGCCTCTGAGCCAGTTATTATTCTTTATCCCCATTTTCCAGAGGGAGAAGCTAAGGCAGCTTAGGTGCTGTTTATGAGGCCACACAGCTAGGAAGTCGCATAGCCAGGATTCAAAGAGAAGAGTCTGAGCATGCGTTCTTAATCACTGGGCTACACTGGGTAAAAGCTCTTTGGGGAAAGTTTCTCAGGCAAGGAAGCAGAAGGGTGTAGTGTTATGAAAGAAAAGAATATGAAGAAATGGCTAATAAGGAGGTCAACTCAAGAATTCTTTTGTCTCCGGTAGATGCGTTATGTGTGGGATCTTCACTCAGAAGGCAAAGGAGAAGTCATCTCTCTGACTCCTTCTGACAAAGTGGTACAAATATCCTAGCACAGAGCTCTTGCTACTTTTTAATTGAGATATGATCTATGTTCCTTAAAACCTACTTTCCTATTCCAGAACATTCCATCAGCCCCAGAGAGAAACCTTATACTCACTAGCAGTCACTCCTCCTTCCCCACCTGCCCCTGATGACCAATACTGATCTACTCTCAGTCTTCATGGATTTGCCTATTTTGGACTGTCATTATTTTGATAAAATGTTTAATTAAAGTGTTTTTGAAAAAGTGGGCAAGGTGATGTTCTGATACATACATATATACATATATATATATATATGGTGAAATCAAGTTAATTAACATATCCATCACCTCATCTACTTACCATTTGTTGTTATTGTTGTTGTCAGAATATT